ATTTTATGGTACTACTCCCCACCCCCAAAAAAAGTGGTGTTATTAGCCATCCAACCTCAAAAATACACTTTTCCCAAAAGGTTTCCACAATTTTGGCCACAACTGTACTCCTTGCAGACAGCTGGTCATTTGCCTTCTTTTAGGGCAGTGTTTCTCAACCTTGACCATTTGAAGGCATGTGGACTTCAACTCCCAGAATTCCACAGCCAGCAATGCTGGCTGTGGAATTCTGGGAGTTGAAGTCCACATGCCTTTAAATGGTCAAGCTTGAGAAACACTGTTTTAGGGGGTTGTTGAGGCCACCTGGGGGTTTGTGTCCTCAAGGTCACCTGAATCGGGGTGCAAAGGGGTGTGGGGCCTTCTTAACTGCAGGGGTCTCCAAGAGCCTCGGGCACTTTAAGACTTCCGGACTTCAACTCCCAGAATGCTTGCTCTTCCGTGCTGGCTGGGGAATTCTGGGAGTTGGAGTCCACAAGTCTTAAAAGTGACCAAGATCGGAGACCCCTGTGTTACACCGAGCCAAATCACGGCGGGGTATGCAGATAGCCCTCAACGGCCACAGTTGACCCCCACAGTTCCGTCGCTAAGCAAGGCAGTCGTTAAGTGAGTTATGCCCCTTTTTACGACCTTTTTTGCCACAACTGTCACGTGAACCACTGCAGTGGTTAAGTAAGTCATGCGGTCATTTAGCGAATCTGGCTTTGCTTAGAACCTTCCCCAGCTGGGAAGGTTCTAAGTGGCGATCGTGTGGCCCCAGGATCCGGCCACGGTCATAAATAGGACCCAGTTGCCGGGCACCTGAATGTTGCTCCCCTGATGCTGGGGATGCTGCATTGGTCGTAAATGTGAAAAATGGTCGTAAGTCACTGTTTTCAGTGGCATTGTAACTTCAAACAGTCACTAAATGAATGGCTGTAGGTCAAGGACTACTTGAGTTTTCAGTTTCCTTACCATCCTTCCCTCTTTCCCAGGACCGAGTTAAGCTTTCCTGAAGGGCCCCTCCCCAACAGTGGGCTGTTTGTCTGGAATGGCACAGGGTCCCCTGCTCGAGCAGGGGGTTGGACTAGAAGACCTCCGAGGTCCCTTCCAGCTCTGTTATTCTGGCTCAGTCCTGCCCCTGCCCAAGGCTAGCTCACACCAAGCCAGAGTGGGAACAGAATCAATACCAGAAGATTCCCTACCAGGGATGCCCCAAGCATTGTTCCCATCTTAGAAAGTGGCCCTTGGGGGCTCAGAATGTCCCTTGCCCGCTCTGAGGGTCTCCCGGACCGGCTGGCGAATGCAGCCCCCCCCCCCCCCCCCCCCCC